CCTAAACCAACCGCCAGCGACTACCTGCCCCTTGATCGCCCATACCGGGATTTTTCGCTGATGTAGCTAAAAGTCATTGTCTAGCCTTGTTCGCTGCTGTCTACTCTACCGTCACCTTAACGGTGCCAAGCCTATAATACTTCATCGAAGGTTTCCCGAACTGCTTGCCCACTAGACCGAGTCAACGGCCCGCGAACTAGAACATGTTATCCTGGTCTACAATTTATGGCAAACGACTGACGATCTATACGTAATGGCAGACAGGCTTACATTCTCAGACTCGCCTTTGTTCTCGCTTTCCTCAACTCGCCGGAACACTGTCCATTCCTTACCAATATGCATCTTCAAGGATCTAAAGACTCACGCTCTACGTGACTCCTTGACGTTATCCCTGATTTGACTGCTTCTTTGATTTCCCAGGGTCGTCAGTTTCCATCTGATTGTTTCTCCACTAAATGGAAGTCGTGATGTGATCAGCAGCATAAACTCACGAAACGGACCTTCGTAAAATTTACCAGCCCCGTCGTGAAAGAAGAGGTATGCATGGAGAATAAATTGCATTATTGAGAGACTAGATGAACCAATAGACGTAAGTTAACCATTTGAAATGACTATCGATCACGATAACAATGAGGGGGGAAACGCTAGTAAACGACAGTTCATGGTCGGCGGAAATTTTCACCAGCATATTTCGCAGCGCTTCCTAGGTCCTCCTCGATACGCAACAGTTGGTTGTATTTGGCAAGACGCTCAGAACGGCACGGGGCACCCGTCTTGATCTGAAAATGAGGAAAACAACCCATGTCGTTAGGTTGGAAATGATATGCTCTCCAGAGCAATAAGATAGAACATACGATCATCCAGAACTTACTTGACCGGTTCGCAAGCCGACTACTAGATCGGCAATGAAGTTGTCCTCAGTTTCTCCCGAGCGGTGAGAAACCATGACACCCCAACCAGCACTCTGGGCCATTTTACAAGCCTGAATAGATTCAGTCACCGAGCCAATTTGATTAACTTTCAGTAGCAGACAGTTGCAAGCTTTCTGATCAATAGCCTTTTGCACACGCAGCGGATTAGTGACGGTCAAATCGTCTCCCACAATCTGTAAGAAAGCAAAGCGAAATCAAGTTTTATTAGGTACGATGAAACTTGAATGAAAATAAAGCTCGTCGTAAGCAAAAAAATCAGCCTGAACTAAGATGCAGGAATGCATTGTAAACTGCGACACCAGCAATGTGCCTAACGTGGTTGTGCCTCCGAAAGCCTCAGTATGGTCGAGATTGTGGTTGGTCAAACTTCCCTTGCACCTGTCTAAACACGAAGACCTGCTATTCAGTGTCGTTAACCGGTAGCCGAAGCCTTGGGACTTCGAGTGGCGAACCACATAAAGCACCGCTAGGTTCGGTTTGCGTAGGATTCAATGAACCAGGCACCGACTCCCGACAAATTGCAGTTTTTACAAATCGTGCTTCGGCCTTGTGAACGAGGCTTGAGCAAATCGAAAGCGCAAATTCCTCAAGAAGGAATTCACAACGCGACGAGATTGGACCTTGCCGTGGTGTGATGACTTGCGTGCCTCCTTGACACTGCGAGCTATACGGGATGGCTTTTCGCAGCCGTCGATCCAATCGTGCCGAAAAGGTCAACGGGTAGAGGCATCTTGTTGAAACTCGGTTGCCTGAGCGTTCGCATGTAGAGTTTGTTGCCACCCCCGTTGCCAGTTCGGCTCATGGTTTTGCGCCAAAGCTCGGTCTCACAAAGCCACCTGATTTTCTCCTATCTGCATCTGCCCCTGGAGAGGCCACTCCAGCAAATAAACACGGTTTACCGGTGGAAAAAACACCGCTAAATGGACTTAGGAGCGGAGTACCTGGGGCTTCCTCTCGACAGTGGAAGAAGTCTTCGCACTTCATTGGACAGCTACCACCCGCCCAAGCTGGGCAGCCCCAGCCAATAAGGTGCTGTCCCGTCCGCGTTCCGCTTGTCTCATTGGGTACATAAGGCTAAGGGCTGATCCCGAAAAGCGGACCGACAATCAACGCACCAGCGAACAACAAACTTAACCGAAATGCAAAGGCCTTGCAGGTCTCCAGAAGCTCCCACACGGGTATTTCGTTCACGCTCCCGCGTTGGATTTATGCCTCACTGCCTTTTGAGTCAAAGGCTCCGGTTAGGGTTCCCAAAGAAAAACCCCTTCGTCGGTGTGGGCTGCCGCGAAGTATGTCGTGCTCTAAAGTCTTAATCACTTATTTAGAAAACCCTCCTTCCCATCTGTCTAGTCCTTCCCAATCCCAAATAATCCCAGGTGCCTCCTGTTTGCTCCACCCATCGAATATCAATCAGCGTTTTAAGGTCAAACAGCCAGAATTTACAGGATTTCGAAACCTAAATTCCCTTTTCACTTATTTGCGTTCAATGTCCGCACGTTCTATCAGACGGGTCAACACGCTGCCTTAGCTAGAACCCTTGAAACTTTCAATTTAGATGTGTGTTGTGTCTACGAAACACGCATACAAGACCCCACTTCCATTATCTCCCTGCGTTCTCGTGACCCAACCTCAACCTCACGCTTCACCCTTCGTCTGTCAGGCGATTCGGTATCCGACGCTCGCGGTGTTACTGATCTTGGGATTGCGCTAAGTGGAAAGGCGGAGCGCTCGCTTCTTGACTAGATTCCAGTCATTAGCCGACTGTGCACTGTACGTCTCAACAGTTCAGCACAGGTCAACATCTACAGAATGAAGTGTCGATGCTTGTGCGTCGCATCTGTGTATGCAGTACACCTGAAATCAAAGATGAATTCTACGAGGATCTCTCTCAGCTACTCCAGTGTTCGATCAACGGACGTCGTAGTAGTCACCGGAGACTTCAATACTCAAGTGGGATCCCTGGACGAATTAGAAAGGTTTCTTAGCCGATCACATGTAATCCCAGTCACCCGGACGGACAACGGAGATCGCCTACTTCAACTCTGCACGGACTACGGATTGTTCTTGTCAAACACGGACTTCTCACACAAGAAACGTCACCGTCTTACATGGAAACAACCAACCTCTTCACTGCACTGGACCCAGATCGACCACATCGCCATCAGTTACCGTTGGAGGGGATTAATTCAAGATTGCCGCTCTTACTGGTCAACAGCTGTGGATACAGACCACACCTTGTTACAAGCCAAATTCTCCCTAAGTCTAGCAAGCAACCGCAGAAAAGCTACCGACAACGGATACCCACGATACAGCGTCCGCGATGGCTGCAAATCGACCTTCGAAGCGGAGCTCTTTGATCGTCTGTCAGTTCAACCACCAGTCGAAGGACCCAATGAACGCTGGGAGCAAACCAAGGAAGCTATGCAAATATCAGTAAACACGTCGGACCCTGGCGCAGGTTCAAAACACAAATGATGGAACTCGTCGACCTCAGCTGCCCTGCTGGACACCCGCAGAACCCTGCCTCCAGATGCCACATATGACAGAGTGGAAGTCCCTCAAAGGCCAGGTCATCAAAAGTCTGAGAAATGACCACAAGAAGTGGTGGGTGGGAAAGTGTACAGAGATGAAGAAGGCTGCGGCTATCGGCAATAGTCGCAATCGTTTCCGTCTAATTAGGAATACAGGCCCCAGGAAAGTAGGTGTGAAGTAATTAAGGACTCCAATGACACACTAATTCACGATCAGCAACTCCGTCCTGATCGATGGGCTGAACACTTCAGTTCAACTGGCCCCCATCGACATCTTAGCACTCACCTTCCACTTTGACCCGGAAAATGCTGCCAGTTGATGCTAGTCCTCCATCTGCAATGGAGTTTACCCGAGAACTAAGTCATCTCAAAAGGCGTAAGGCGTCCGGTCCGAGGAACCGTCCCCCTCGGTTTTTAAGGATGGAGGTTTAGCTTTGGTTTGGTTAACAAAACTCCTGGGCTGTGGGAGAGGGAAGAGGTTCCAGCTGAAGGGTGTGAATCAGTAATCATACCGATTTACAAGAAAGGCGACAGGTACTTCTGTGAAGACCACAGAGGAATTATTTTAATCAACATTGCCTCTACACTTCTCGCCGGCATCATACTCCGACAATTGTCTGCCGAACGTGAACGGTGTACGTGTGAGATCCAGGCTGGTTTAAACCCGGTCGAGGTTGTATCGACCATGTCTTCACTCCCCGCCAAATTCTGGAGCATCGAGAGTCCTTTCGTAGACCCACCATCTGCTTTCTCGATTTGAAAGCGGCTTTCGACTCAGTGGACCGCTCTAAACTCTGGCGCTGCCTTTCCCTGAAGGGTGTGTCCGAGTTTATCTCAATATTAGGATCGCTGTATACAAATGGCCGAAGTGGACTTCGGGCTTACGGCACTTTTTCGCCCGAGTTTACCGCAGAAAGTGGTGTTGGTCGGGGTTGCTCTCTCTCCTGTTCTATTCAGCTTTGTTATAGATTTGATTATGGAAATAGCCCTATCGTCGTGCGAGAATAGCGGTATCGATCTACTTCCAGGTGATAGACTGTCTGATCTAGACGACAGACGACATTGTGCTACTAAGTAAAGATGCAGGATAAGCTGCAAGCATTCTTGGACAGCTTGAATGCCAGTGTAGCCATGTTCGGTATGCGTTTTGCACCTTCAAAACGCAAAATCTTATTGCAAGACTGGGTCGGTCCAGCACCGAGCCCCATCCTAACTGGAGAAGTAATAGGGCAATTGGATAAGTTTTGCTATTTAGGCAGCTACATCTCATCCGGTGAGCGCATCACGGATGAAGTCTGCTCGCACACAGAAGGCTCGACTGGTATTTGCCAACTTCAGACATCTGTGGCGCCGTCGCGACATCCGGTTGTCTGTGGATGGTCGAGTGTATGCGGCAGCTCGGCCAGTTCTGCTATACGATGCAGAAACTTGGCGATTAAGAAGGCAGGATAAAGATAGTCTGTCGGTGTTCGAACACCGCTGTCTACGCAGCATTGCACGAATCTGATGGGACAGCCGGACGAACAATGCTGAGGCTAGGTGCAGGGTTTTGGGTATCCGCGGTCGCCCACTGGAGCAAGTGGTCGACCTCCATAGATTACTCTGGTTGGGACATGTGTTACGCATGTCACCAAATAGATCGCCACGGCGAGCAATCTTCGCCGAGGCAAGTAGTGGGCGGAAGAAAGTCAAGGGTGACCGAGCTAAGACCTGGCACGAGGGTATGAAAACCCTGACCGAGAGTCTGGATTACATAGGTCCCGTTAAGCTTCCTGGCTGGGAACCTCGGGATGATGGTCACCGAAGGTTAGAGACACTGAATGCTATGGCTGGGTGGCGTAAACGGTAGCGTTCTTGTATCTTCTCAATTTCTTTGCAACCTTAGACCACTGAACTTATCCATTTTCTGTTCGACTATACCTTCAACCTCCTCCATTATTCATTCAAATGAGAAGCCAAAAGACAGCAACCAAAACCGGTGCACGAAAATCATTATTCAAACTGAACTGAATTTCACAAGAAAATTCACTTGCTTTGGTCTGAGCAACATGGCAGTATCCGGCCTTTGCCTTGAAGATAACTTGGCTGTCGCCTAATTGGCACAGTTTGGACTCAGATAAGTATGAAACAGATAACCAGACCTCTGCAACTCGATGGAGACGGTTCTACCCAACCACCCGGCTAACTGACCCACTTTGTATATAAATGGAAACAGACAGCTCAGCTTTGTAACCGCTTTGGGTGATGAACCTCAGTCCTCAGCATCCTAGTTACCACTTGTGCGGCAAAGTTCACTTAGTTTCAGGGGCCTGGAATATCTCGATATCTCGATGAAAAGCTTTACGTAATGGAAACTGACCTGAATTTTGCACTCTCCTGTCAATTTAGTCCAAGCGGGCCAATCGTCTTGGTCGAAAGGATCTTCAATGCTAACGATTGGATAGGTGGACATCATTTTCTTGTACACGTCGGCCATAGCATCAGAACTAATCCAGGAACTGGCGGGGGATTTCGGGTTCTTGAAGTCTAGATCATATTTGCCTTCCTTGTAAAATTCGGAGGCTGCAGAATCCATAGCGATTTTGACCTTGCCTGTGTATCCGGCCTTTTCAATCGCAGTGCGCAGGAGTTCAAGACCTGAAACGATTGTGACCAACGATTATTACCGGAACTCAGTTCTGGGTAAAGGATCTCAACCACAGAAGTTAACGTCCAAACTTTAATCTACACCTCAAATGCCAAAATGATATAACACCATACTTTGCACATACAAAACGCAGGCATATTGAAAACATTACCTTCCAAGTTATCCTGAATGTTTGGAGCGAAACCACCCTCGTCACCAACATTACATGCATCCAGGCCATATTTTCCTTTGATGACGGCCTTCAGGTGGTGGTAGACCTCGCTACCAATCTTCATCGCTTCGGCAAACGAACTGGCACCCGTTGGCATGATCATGAACTCCTGCATGGCCAATTTGTTACCAGCATGGCTACCACCGTTAATGACATTGAAGGAAGGTACGGGCATCACCACATCATTATTTCCAGCCAGGCTTGCGATGTATTTGTACAATGGAAGTCCCTAAAAAATATCAAGATACATCGGAATATCACATGGAATAGTATCGTGCAAGAAGATAGGGTTGTGAACAAGCAACAAGCCTTAGTTGAAATACTCATCTGAGTGACACTAGCTTTCATGGAAATCTGAAGTTACTTAAGTGCGATCGCAGTTCGAGTCCTGACGGACACAAAAAGTATGCACTGCTGACGAGTCCCAAACAGGATAAAACAGCTGACCAGGGCTCTTTGTTGGTTATCACAAACATTTTCATCGCAGTTAAATGCATATAAACGGTAGGGAATTAACGATCTCCCAAGGATTGAAGCTCACACCGAAGACCATCAAGGTGTCTGGTGCCTCTGAGCAATCGAATGGGCTAATCCAAACTTGATACTCTAAATCTGAAGTTACTTTGAAACCTGCTGTAATCTACTAGAGATAGGACAACCGAAAAAATACTAATGCGTTGACTGGAATAATCTACACTACACGAACCTTTTCTGCTGCCCCCGCTTTGCAGACTGCCAGAGATACACCAAGAATTGCATTTGCTCCGAGCTTTTCTGCAAATAAAAAGTTGGAAGTGTTATTGCACATGTTAAGCAGGTTTTTATCAGAATGGACTGAATAATGGCTGCAACTTACCTTTGTTAGGAGTACCGTCCAATTGCAGCATGAAGTTATCGATGCCAGCTTGGTCAGTCACAGGAATACCGCATTTCAAAAGACCTGGGGCAATTTGGTTGTTCACATTTGAGACGGCCTTTAGCACACCCTTGCCCATGTACCCTGAAGGACCGTCACGCAGTTCTAAAGCCTCGTGGACACCAGTGGAAGCGCCACTAGGAACAGCAGCACGAAACAAACCTGAAAAATTGAGGAGTTAGAAGGACATTACCACTGAAGCGTGGTTGTTAAATGGAATGCTATCCTGCGATAAAACTTAACGAATAACAATCGATAGCGAATTAGGGGTAAGACAAACACTAGGCATAGAGCAACAAGGGCACACTCGGGGACAAACGTGCATTCCCAGCAAACGACTGAACCGAACGGGAAGTGAGTTTACCCCACAGTAAATTTGATGAGTATCAATGGAACACCACGAGTGAAACAACAATGCGAAGATACGAATATAGCGATAACAGACAAACTAACCTTTAGCGGTCGTGACGTCGACTTCGACGGTGGGATTCCCACGACTGTCAAAAATTTGCCGAGCGTGAATAGATTTAATGGCCATTGTCTGAAATTGGGAGATATTTGTGCTGTAGAACAAAACAACTCAAAAAACTGCGAATCAGAAGCCCAACTTCGTCTAGAGAGTCTTTTATTTGTCTACGGTACGGCTATTTTACACATTTATGGATAAAATTCAGGGTTCAAGAAATGGTCCCATTCGGCTTTTTCTTTCCATTCTTTTTTTGCCACTTCTATGTAGGGGTCCAAGTACGGAATATCGTCTTCGATAGAAGTCCACTGTTCCTTGGGTAGCACTGCTTTATTGGCAGACAGTTGAAAGGCTCGCGCAATGCGAAAATCACGGGCCTCTGTTTCTTCCCGTGGTAGGCGACGAACAGCCTCCGCTATTAGTGGCGAATGAGGAATCACATCATGGTACAGCAAGCCAAGCTGGTTGTAGTAGGAGTTTTTGAACTGAAAGGATTTGACTTTTTGCTGCAAGTCACTCATTTGCTTCAATCGCATTCGGTAGGCTGCGGCAACCCGCTCCACACCAGCACGGAGAGTCGCCATGATGATAGCTAAAAGAAAAAGGGTAAGGAGTCGAATCAATTTATGTTGGTAGTGGGACAAACAACATAGGATGGCTGTAGCTCTGACTTCGCATTTTCCGTTTAAGCGGTTGGCGGTGCAAATTAAACCCGGTAGGTAGAGAAGTTGGAATGCTCCTACAGACGTTGAGAAAATTTACTCTATCCTACGCTCGAGTATCCGAAAGTAGATAACGCAGTAAGCGGAAGCAGTGCTAACCAAGGCACCTTTCGACATGACCGAACCCCACTGCAGGTATACCCTAGCTTCACAAATGCAAATGGGAAGCACAACTTAGAAAGCAACTTTTCAAATATTGACCACCTCTTGAGATTAATTGGATCCATGACTTGAAGCACACAGGAACTAGTGATCCAAGCAATCAACAGCTGTTACCACATACAGAAGTAAAAGAGGGAACATACGGACCACAGATAAGTGATGACCAGGAATTCTTAGTCTTAAGACCACAGATAAGCAGGTATTGTAATGCTAACAGTAATGTCGAAAGCCTCATCTGCGATACTCCGGCGAACTGACCTGTTTGAATCCCGCTAGGGCCCTTCGGACTTACTCCATCTCGCGTAACCAATTTAATGCGTATCACACGGTACACGAGAACCGAGAAACAAATAATGTGCACCAAAATACAACACTCCGTACCTCATTAGTCGGTAAAGGTGGGTCCCACATGATGGGCAAAACGCTACGCACAGCGTGCACCAGACGACAAGTGCGTACGTGCAACACCCGCAGATAATCTCACCTTATAACAGTGGCGGAAAAACCGAAAGACCAGTCTGAGTGTTTGATACAGTTAAACAAAACACTTCCAACTATCGAAAACAAAACTCTTTCCAGTTTGCAATCAGTAGACTTTGAGAAATTATGACATGAATTTATAATTTGATATTAGCTTCTCACGAAAGTCGAACCAGAACATGGAAAGAATAATTCGTAATAGTCGTCTACCGGCTATTGCTCTGCTCCCAGTTGCGTATTCACGGGGATTCAGTTCAGTTCATTTCAGCTTGCACAGGACGATGTGTGGCCCGGGCCAATCTTGCGTCCAGATTGATGTGTTGTTGGCTGTTCTTGTGGCTTTCAACACTGCGAGTCAATAGGTTTTTTCTGAAAGGCAGAAAGTAGGGTGCAGTATC